GGAAGTCAAGCCTGTTTTCCTCTGCCCCACCCCTAGGGCGGGTGTAGCACTCACATCATCTCCCTGCGTCCTCTTGCAGAGGATGAGGACCTTTACAAAGTGCGGACCCTGGCCCCCTGCTGACTCGCTTAGTTAAACTTCTAAACTTCTCAAGTTGACACAATCTATCAACCACTGCAGGCTCCATCTTCCCACTAGCACCCTGACCTGGAGACAATGCCTTTAGCACAAGGGTCTCCAGGGACCTTCAAGTTCCAAACCGTAACAACAGTGAAACTGGTAGAAAACAGCATGTAGTGATGATCCTGAAATACACAGCAAAGGATAAATCATTGATCCAACTAAATCTACCACATTCAGTGAGAGCAGCAGAGTCTGTGGCACCTGACCAAGACCTGCTTCCTCTCTTCTTCCTGCTAAGTCCACCAGACAGAAACTGCATTGAGGTAAGTACAGCGAAGAGCACTGCTTTTCCCTGGAGAGCCAAAGTAGCCGCACCAAAGGGGAAGCTCAGCATTTCTCATCGTGACTGCAGCTTCTCAGGCTAAGCCCAAGCTGGTTGTGACCCGGAGGTGGGGTTTCCTTGTCGGACACTTCCAATGAGATAGAGGCTCTCCCCTGGCACAGTGCCGTACTTCTCGCCACCCCACCCACTAAGCGTCCACCTCCTAAGGGGCTCCCCACCTGTGACACTAGTTGAGAAATACATGTTTGTCCCTACACCCAGCCCAACAGCTGTGGTTCAGAGGTTTTTCTGAGAAAAGAAAGCAGAGAAGCTCAGTAAGAGACTCCAGGAGGAGAACAATAATCACCCTGGATCAGAATAAATACCAGAACTAAGCTCCAGAACCACTCCTTTAAAGGAATCCAAAGTGGATTGGATTCAACTATAAAGCAATTTATGCCCAAAGGCATTGTTAAGAAAAACACAACCATCAGCCAGCAATTAATGGAGCTTAATACTGGACGTGCTCAGAGAAAGTAACAAAGATGTGTGCTCTTCAAACCACTGTCCGGACAGTGACTGGGTGAATGCCAAAGTCTGCCCTCCCCTGGGCTTAAAGAGCAATGTCAAATGTTTAACACTGGGTGGGGAAGGCGGGAACAGATTTCACTAAAACAATCCAGCCATTTACTGCACAAATAAACAAGAAAATAGAAAGCCCTTTGTGGGAATTAGGGACCAGTATGCAGCACTGCTACAACGTATTAGCTAAAGAATTCCAGAAAAAAATAATGAAACATGCAGAGATGTAGAAAAGCATAATCCACACACCAGTGAAAATAAAGAGACTGCCTGTTAGAGTGACATGAGGTCAGCTTTAGTAAGGACTTCAAAGTAATCATTATAATATGTTCAAACCCCATGATGAAAGAGGAAAAAATGATGGAAAATTATTAATATCAGCAATGAGAAATGAATTATGCTATCTAATGGATATTAGAATTATAATAATAAGATATATTAAGAACAGACTATGAAAAAAATAAACAGCCTCTGAATATGAGATTAATATGGAAAATTCAATAATATTTCTGTTTACTAGAAACAAATGGAAAAGAAATAAAATTATTTACAATAAAGTGTTATGACAATAGCACATGAAACAGAGAATATCAAAGAATGCAGATAATTTTTTTAAAAACAAAAATACTGAAATTGGGAAGTACAATAACAGAAATAAATATTTATAAGATTGGCTCAACAGTATATTTAATCTGACAGAAGAAAGAATTAGCTAACAAAGAGATCAGCAGGTAGTATACAAGCCAAAGAACAGAGGGAAAAATAAATGAAGTCAAGTGAACAAAGCCTCAGAGACATGTAGAGATACTATTAAGTATACTGACATGCACATAGTGAAAATAACAGGTGAGCAGAGGGAAAAGAAAGGAAAAACATTTGAAAAAGTTATTACTGAAAACTCCCCAAGTTGATTTTTTAAAAATATGCAATAAATGCCAACCACAAAACTGCAAAGAGATCTACAAATAGTAAAATGTATTGTATCTTAAATAGTAAAAATGCTGAAAGCAAAAGATAGGTGTAAAATCTTAAAACCAACAAGAGAAAAATAACTTATAACTGACAAAGAAACCCTCATAAGATGAACACCTGACTTCCCATCAGAAACAATGGTGACTAAAAGCAGTTGAGTGACATATTCAGAGGGCTCAAAGGAAAAACTGTCAACCAAGATATCCAGCAAAGGTATCTTTCAAAAGTGAAGCTGCGATAAAGGCATTCCCATATAAAGGAAAAGCAAGTTTTGTAGCTAGTAGACTTCATGACCTCCAAGAAAAGAAAGATTAAAGGAATACTCAAGGAAGTTTTTCACATTGAAACAAATAACTTTAAATAGCAATTAGGCCACACACAGTACCAGTATTGGTAATTATATTGTGTAATTATAAAAGGCATTATCAATCCTTGTTTTTTTCCTTTCTCTTAATGTAAAGAGCGATAGTATAAAATGATATGTACAGAATGTACAGTTGGGTAATGACATAAAAATAAAATACATTTTCAAACAATAGCACAGAAAAGATGGTGGCAGTCCTGTGTTGTGTAATGACACTTCACTTGCCAGTTGCATATGCAATAGTGATCCCATGAGATTATAATGGAGCTGAAAAATCCCGAACCCTTGTGATGCTACTACCAGTGTCAATATGTCCTCATACAATGCACTACCCATGTATCTGCATCAAAACACTAGTGTAAAATAACCTACAGTCATATAAAAAGATAGCTCTTGAAATTATGAGCAGACCATGATATCTGATGGTAATACATGACTATGTTATTTGTTTATGTGTTTACTATACTATACTTTTGTCATTATTTTAGAGTGTATTCCCCCTTCTAGTATTATTTTTTTAAAAAGAGTTAAGTAAAAGAGAGCCTCAGGCAGGTGCTTTTGGAGCTATTCCAATGTTGTCACAGGAGGTGACGACCTTCCAGTGGGAAAAGAAGTAGAGGCAGAATACAGTGACATTGATGTCCCTGACCTTCAATAGGTCTAGGCTAAAGTGTGATTCTGTCTTGGTCCTTAACAAAAAAGTTTGGAAAAAGGGGTCCGATTCCCAGTACCCCCCAAAAAAATTGCTAATAAATCTTGGATAGTGAAAGAATAAAACAAAACATTTTAAATAGAAAAACAGCTTACAGAATGAGAATACAGAGAGAAGCATTTTGTACATCTGTGTAATGTGTTTGTGTTTTAACCTAAGTGTTTTATTAAAAACTCAACAAGCTTAAAAATTTTTAAAGTCTATAAAGACAAAGAATTGTGGTAACCTGCAGTCAATTTATTACCGGAGAAAGAGTGTTTAAGTAAACTTAGACAGCATAAGGGCACCGTGTCTGAAGTGGGTGCAGCAGTGCCTGGCAGTGTTTAGGCTTTGCATTCACCCACAACGCACTCACTAACTCACCCAGAGCAACTAACTTCCTGCCCTGGATGAACCATTTCTGTTAAGCAGCCTGTAAAAGTGTGCCACTTTTTACTTTTTACATGTTTTTTGTTTGTTTGTGTACTGTGTTCTTTGTACGTCTAGATACACAAATGTTTACTATTGGGTCACAATTGCCTACAGTATTCAGAGCAATAGAAGTCATAGGATTTACAGCCTAGAAGCAACAGGCAATACCCTGTAGCCTAGGTATGTTACAGGCTGTGCCATCCAGGTTTGTGTAAATAGTATGTTTGTACAGCAAAATCACCTAATGGCACTGTTGCAGAATTTCCAAGGAACTGGAGAGACTAAGAGGGATTATGGGACTTTATTAGCATATGACCCAGTCACTAGAAATGCTTAAAACCAGGCTGGGCCCTGAACTAAGGCAAGACCCTCTTTTATACAATTTGTGGCATCAAGCAAGTAGAGATACACAAGCAAAACAAAGGCAGTTACTCATCCTAGCAGCTAACCCTCTCTTAGTCTTGAAAAGAAGACATCCTGTGCGTTTCAGGAAGTTAGGATGCTGCGCAGCTTGTTTATACTCCCATGTGCTAGGTTTATCGATGATGGTACCCAGTACTACCCCTCTAAGGGAGGAGATTCCCATGACAGAACTGCTTGAGGTGTCTCCCTTATCAGTGAGAAAAGCACAGGACCACCACGAGAAAACGCATGTCCACATTCCCGAGGGAGGGGTTGCCTGCGGAGTTGCTTGCCTGAGCTGGGAACATTTCACAGAGGAAGAGAAAGGCTAAGTTTCTCTCTGAGTTCTGCTTTAACACATTTGCAGAAGTGTTCCTGTCACTAAGCAAAGCATGACTGTTTACCAAGAATAACTATAACAATGTGTCTTTGGGACCATAAGAGTAATGTAGTACGTACAACAACACTGTCATTAAAAGGGAAGGAAAAGGAATAGAGCTACATAGGAGGAATATATCTATAAACCACTAGGATTAAATGTAGAAATATGAAAGTGATATTGTGAAGACAAGCCCTGAAACATCACATGGCATCCGTGAGAGCTCTGTGTGGAGCTGCTAAGAAAAGCAAAGGGCTGGAAGAAAATGTATGAGGCAAATGCACATAACTGAAAAAAGTATATGTCAAAATAAAAATTGGAATACAGATAAAGAGTATTAAAATAAGACAAAGGACATTGCATTTCTCTAGAGGATTCAAGTTATGAAATAACTTCCATGATCCTCCTCACATGTGCAATACTATTCCATTAAAATACATAAAATAAAAGATTTTATAATACAAGGAGAAATGGGTTCAGATGCCATTGTAGTGGGATATTTTCATCACCTTTCATGCTTTTTCTTCCTTCCTTTCTTTTATTTATTTATTTTGTGTGTGTGTGTGCTAGTATTGGGAACTGAACCCAGGCCCTTTCATGGAGCTACATCCCCAGTCCTTTCTGATTTTTTTATTTTGAGATAGAGCCTCTCTAAGTTGCTAAGTGCTTGGCTTGCAATCCTCCTGCCTCAGCCTCCCAGATTACTGGGATTATAGACATGTACCACCACACTGCGCTTCTCACACTTTTTGATGGAGGTACTTATGGTCTAGATTTAAAATGTTCCCCCAAGGTCATATTTTAAGGTGTGGTTACCAGCCTGTGACACAATTAGACAGTGCTACAACCCTTGGGGCATGCCCTCAAAGGGGCTGACGCCAACTGTGATCGTCGTGATGCAGGAGAAATGAACTCCCAACCTGTTAGACGTCAGATGTCCCAACTTTGTTGTCCCACCACATTGAGGAATGAAGTCTCCAACCGAAGGAAAAAGTTAGGGTTTTATTGGAAACAAGGACAGAAGAATGGCTCCTGGATTTCGAGGCGGGGTCCTGAAGGGCGGAGCTGCTGAGGCCCTGTATCAGGGGTAATTTACACAGCAAAGTCACACAGTGGAGCACAGCGTGGGCCAAACTACAACAGACCTGCAGGGTTACAAATGTATCGGTTTAGCTAATCTGGGTCCAATAGAGAAATAAATCACATAGTCAGGGTACATGGAAAGAACAAATACATTTCTGGTGAGGGATGGGTCCAGATGTTCTGGTCATCCACCTGGGTTACATAGCTAGCTGGACTCCCTGGACCAGGTGGTGCGAATTACAGTATAATCTCACGTTACTGCTCACCCCTTAGGGAGGCTTGTAGGTCTGGCCCTTGCATCTTCACCCTGAGGCCTGGCCTTCTTCTGATGCACCTCCAGCCAAAATTCTGATGTCTGATATTTTTTCTCCTGACTTTCTTGAGAGCACAGGCTCTCTCTGACTGTATATTTATTTCTATCTAACTTAGCTGCTATAATAATTAGGGTGTGTCCTCAAAGGGAATAGGGCAGCCCAAACCTCTCCCTCTATCTCTTTGCTTCCAGGCCTCAATGAAGTGAGCAACTGTTATGATTTGTGTCTAGATGTCCTCCCAAAACCTCATGCAGCCATTGGGGAGGGCTTTTTTCAGAGGTGGCTGAATCTAGAGGGTGTGATTGATTCGTAGTGCA